AAAATAAATTTACCAACATCGTGTTACTAAATCCATTCGACCTTTAACATAGACCGCGGCTTCTCGAACATGATCGCCAGTGTGAGGAGCATGAACCATTCGGTCGTGTCCTGAAATAACAGCTACGTGGTGAATCGATCCGCCATCATTAAAGAAAACCAAGTCGCCAGGCTGGTGTTGAGCGTAGGGGACGTGATGACATTGATGATCAGCGTACTGGGCACCAGCAACTCGGGCAATCTTTTTGTGTGTGCCCTGGTACACTGCATACTGCGCCAGACCGGAGCAGTCAAACCCAACTGTGTGAGCACCTGAAAGCACACCTCTAAAAGTTGGCTTTCAGTAAAGAAAACATCTCATAAAACTTGATAATACTTGCCTCGATTTTCCAGCCCAGCTCCCTCCCGCCTAATTTACACATGGTTAATATAATAAATTGGCAAAATGATGCTTACCCAGGAATAGGGGAGACCAATTTGCGTTCGTGCAGCAGCGGCAATCTCAGCACCACCTGCCATGGCAAAGCCAATGGTCACATGAGAAAAAATAACAAAAGTAATGATAAACTTCATTGCGACAAAGTAGTCTTGAAACTCCTGCGCTTTACTTTCTCTTGTCATTTATATACTCATAAAAGCATCTTTTTTAGACTGCCTTTTATCAATTATTTTTTGATAATCATATACACTCATTAAACAAATAATCTTTTTAAAAAATGCATCCGTTAACGTCTAATTGATATTTTAATTTAATAATTAAATTTTAAAAAGTAGTAAGCAAACACAGTTTTTTTATTTTGCAAAAACTTAAATATTTTAAATATGTTCGCACAGTTTATTAGTTATAAGTAAGTGTTCTAAAAACATCGAGCAACATTGGCCATTCGTTCAGCAGCGCGAACTGAAGTTTCGTGAACCTAAAAATGATATTTAGAAAGTCAGTTTTTACCCTTATATGTACATTGTATCTTACTTTAGCGCCAGTGTGCGGTGCTTCAATCATAGTGTTATGTCCACTAATAATAGCGACGTGATGAATGTCTGAGCCCTTGGCAAAGAAGACCAAATCGCCGGGCTGGTGTTGGGCGTAGGGGACGTGGTGGCATTGATGGTCATGATACTGAGCTGAAGCCACTCGGGCAATCTTCTTGTGAGTGCCGTGGTACACGCTGTATTGAGCTAGACCAGAACAGTCAAAACCGACTGTGTGGGCACCTTGCTGAATGCCGCGAGATTTTCCAGACCAGCCACCGCCACCCTATTTTAGAACGGTACAAATAAGCAAACATTGTAGACAATTCAAGAATTTTTACCCAAGAATAAGGAACACCGATTTGAGTGCGAGCAGCGGCCACAATCTCACTACCGCCAGCCATTGCTTGACCTGTATCAAAACATGATTTACTTAAGACAATTTAAAAATTGTAATAACAACAATCATACCGATAGCCAAGCAAGACACAATAGTTAAACCAATTAAAAACTTCATGATTTTGTGTTTTGATTTACAAAAACGGCAAAACTTAAAATGTTTAGTTAAATCATTTGCGTTATATACGACTAGTTGATGCGTTTTTTGTTAGATTGATGATCTTTGTTGTTAGCGATAAGAATGACTATCACCTGTAAATATTTATCTATTTACAGAAACTAAAGCGGATTGTGCTTTGCATCCTTAACCTTGACTACTTAATTACTTATTTTGGCAAACGACTATTTACCAAAGTACATTTTTACATATTAGTTACATTACTTTTACAGATGAACATGATTAATCATTACTTTAAATTGTACCAATATTGCTCATTTATTTGTTTTAAAATGACGCCATAAAATTATTTTTGGAATGATACCAAATTGCTAGATACGGTGGCAATCTCATCTTAAGCATTTTTATGACCAATTGCAAGTCTTTTTGATCCGGTCGTTGATTTTGCAATGAATTTAAAAT